AAGGTGGAGGAGAAGGATTTTGTCACAGATTATGTGAGCCCAGGGCTGGGGGATTCGGGGTGGCCCTGTCCTCCCCTGTGGGGTGATAAATGGGGCTGCCAGMACCTCTGGTGCAGCTCCAGGCAGGAGTGAGGGGGCTGACTCCAACCCTGCTCCTGTGTTTCAGGGCAGCGATGCAGACAAAAGTGAAGACAACTTGGTGGTGGATGAGGTCAGTGTGCTGGGACATTGGGAGGGGGCTGGGGTCAGTGTGGGCTGTCCATCCCTGAGCAGGGGGGCGCCAACAGGCTGCTCCAGGCAGAGGTGGCATCACAGGGAGGTGCCAGTGGGAGTTGTGTTCCCTGACCCTGGCCAGAGCAGCAGTGGGCACTGGTTGTGGCCACCAGCTCGCCATAACCTGGGATATCCCTGCTCTGCTGCCTGCTGATCTCTGTCCCTGCYCCCCAGGACCCCTCCTCCCCGCACAGCGTCCACTCCTACTCGTCCCGGGAGAACGGCGTGGAGAAGGTGCCCCTGGGCAGGAAGGAGACCGTGCCACTCAGCCCCACCTCCATGGCCTCCTCCAGCAGCACGTCCCCATCTCGGAGCAAGGACCCTCCCACGGTTTGTGTGCCCCTCAGGGCCGGTGCCCACATCCCTGCTGCCCATGGCTGGCTGTCAGAGCAGCCAGGCCCCAAACCCGTGGGGCAAAGTGCTGGAGGGGCTCCTGCTTTAGATCTCAGCTCAAATCACCTGCAGCACTGTCTGTGCTTGAGGGGAGCTGACAGGGACCCTGTGCAGTTGCCACGTTCTGCTCCTGGCAGGTGGAGAAGGCAGGGACACCCAGCCTGAAGTCCAGCACCCCCACGTCCCAGGGTGACCCCATCCCGGGCTCCAGCAGCTCCCAGCAGTTTCGCCCCACCGCTGCCAAGGTTCCCGTGGACCCTCTGGGTGAGTTTGACACCCCTGGCGTCTGGGTGGGTTCCAAGCTCTGCATGCAGACCCCCATCCCTTCACTCTGCCTCTCCCCCACCAGCCCTGGGCCTGAGGAATCCGCTGGGAGTGCAGAGCCCCTACTCGGCYGCCTTCAGCCTGGCTCACCCTGCGGTCAACGGGGACGTGGCCGGCACCGGCGCCTACGCCAGCCTGCACCTCATGTCCCCGCAGCTCAACGGGGCCRCCGTGGGAGCCGGTGGCTACGGGCGCTCGCCCCTGGTGCGTGAGCTGATCCCGTGGGGACGAGGGGCCACTCGGTGTGAGCTGCTCTGACCCGCTGTCCATCCCCTGCAGGTGGGCTACGACCCGCACCCACACATGCGCGTCCCGGGGCTGGTGGCCGGCATGCAAGTGGGGACATCGGGGAAGCCGTAAGTGGGGCGGGGCTGGGGAAGGGGGTGAGGGGATGTGGGATTGAAACTGGGCAGGGTGGACAAGCTGGGGGCAGCAGGGATGGGGAGCACAGCCTGGGGGGACACCAGGAGCTGGGCAGTGGCTGCTGTGTGCTCAGCCAGCATCACAGGGTTGCTTTGCTCGCAAGCTCCGACCCCAAACTGTGCCGGCCGCTGTCCACTCAGGATTCCGGCCGGGCTCTGACCACTCTGCTCCCTCGCAGCGCCTACTCRTTCCACGTCAGCGCCGACGGGCAGATGCAGCCGGTGCCGTTCCCCCCCGACGCCCTGATGGGCTCGGGCATCCCCCGGCACGCCCGGCAGCTGCACACGCTGAGCCACGGCGAGGTGGTGTGCGCCGTCACCATCAGCAACTCCACGCGCCACGTCTACACCGGGGGCAAGGGCTGCGTCAAGGTGTGGGACGTGGGGCAGCCGGGCACCAAGACGGCCGTGGCTCAGCTGGACTGCCTGGTGAGGATGAGGAGGAGATGAAAGGGTTCAGGGCTGGGGCTGGGAAGGGGAATGCGCCCCTTTTCCGGTGGTGGGGGGAGCACAGGGGCACCTGGTGAGCGCAGAGCCGCCCCTCCGACCCCCAGAGCCAAGCCCTGAAGCACCCAGCTTCACCGAGCCCCACCAAAAATGACACTCCATGAGCCCCAGAGGGGCCTTCCACATGTGCACTGAGAGGAGGGGACGCGTGTCCTGCAGTGCCCTGTGTGCTCATCGTCCCCTTGTCGCCCTGCCCCGTGTCCCCTGTTCAGAACCGGGACAACTACATCCGCTCCTGCAAGCTGCTCCCCGACGGCCGCAGCCTGATCGTGGGCGGGGAGGCCAGCACCCTGTCCATCTGGGACCTGGCGGCCCCCACGCCCCGCATCAAGGCCGAGCTCACCTCGTCCGCCCCCGCCTGCTACGCCCTGGCCATCAGCCCCGACGCCAAAGTCTGCTTCTCGTGCTGCAGCGACGGCAACATCGTGGTGTGGGACCTGCAGAACCAGACGCTGGTCAGGTGAGCATGGACTGTCAGGGGCTCCTCGGGTCAGGGACCACTCAGTCCCCTGCAGCACGGCCATGTCCCTCCCTATGTCCCCCCCCTGGCCAGGGGACAGTCCCTGTCCTCACAGCTGGGTGCTGCCCTGCCCTGACAGCCGTGCCCTCGCCCTCTCCATCCCCCTCTTTCCCAGGCAGTTTCAAGGCCACACGGACGGTGCCAGCTGCATCGACATCTCCAACGACGGCACCAAGCTGTGGACAGGGGGGCTGGACAACACCGTGCGCTGCTGGGACCTGCGCGAGGGGCGGCAGCTGCAGCAGCACGACTTCAGCTCCCAGGTGGGGCTGGGACCCTGTGGCAGCACCGTGGGGCCGGGTGGGAGCTGCCAGGYCACYGTGTGAGCCSTGTGTCCCCTCAGATCTTCTCGCTGGGGTACTGCCCGATGGGAGAGTGGCTGGCGGTGGGCATGGAGAGCAGCAACGTGGAGATCCTGCACGTCACCAAACCCGACAAGTACCAGCTGCAYCTCCACGAGAGCTGYGTCCTSTCTCTCAAATTCGCCTCCTGTGGTAGGCACACCTCTCCTGGCCCCTCTTTGCTCTGGAGCCTCACTGATGCCACCTTTGCTCCTGGCTGTGTGTCACAGGGCTCGTTGCTCTGGGGTCAAGCATTTGTTCTGGTAGCCAGCCCTGTCCCCAGTGGATGGCACTCAGAGAAGGGACATCCATGCCATCTGGAGCCAAACTCCCTTTTGTGTTCCCTGCCTCGTCCCCACAGCCTGGGAGGGATCTGTCACCGGGATCCAGCTGGTTTGGTGACACCAGGGCTGCTTTGTGCCCCTGCAGGGAAGTGGTTCGTGAGCACGGGCAAGGACAACCTGCTSAACGCCTGGCGGACACCCTATGGAGCCAGCATCTTCCAGGTGAGCAGGCAGCAGGGCTGGGGGCTCCTCAGGGTCAGTCTGCCCAGTAAAACCCAGTACAAGCCAGTACAAGCCAGTAAAACCCAGTACAAGCCAGTAAAACCCAGTACAACCCCGTAAAACCCAGTACAATTCTGTATAATGCAGTAAAACCCAGAACACCCCAGTATAACCCATTAAAACCCAGTACAACCCAGTACAACTCAGTAAAACCCAGTACAACCCAGTACAACCCCATAAAACCCAGTACACCCCATACAACCCCGTAAAACCCAGTACAACCCAGTACAACTCCATACAACCCAGTACAACCCAGTCCAACCCAGTACAACCCAGTGAAACCCAGTAAACCCAGTAAAACCCCGTACACCCCAGCTGTAAATGTGTTAGCAATACCAACCCCCCTCCCAAACCCCATAAACTCATCCCTGCAGCCTCCCCGAGCACAAATCCCCCAAAGAATCGGGGTGGGACCGTGCTCTGGGGCTGCTTCTTGCGTTCACCCCCGTTCTCTGCAGTCGAAGGAAACCTCCTCCGTCCTCAGCTGCGACATCTCCACGGACGATCAGTTCATCGTGACGGGCTCAGGGGACAAGAAGGCGACGGTTTACGAGATCATTTACTGATGAGGTGCCAACTGCGGGACGGGCAGGTGTCCACRTGGATGGACAGGTGGATTCTACCTGCCCTTCTGCTGAATTCCCAAAGAACGAGCGGCCAGCGGCTGTGGCATCCCAGCTGGAGGAGAGCGCAGAGAGGGGTGGAGGTGGCCCTGGCACCGTGGCCAGGCATGGTGCAGGCTGCTGCTCGGGGTGGATTTCCTGGGGACTTTCTCCTTGTTTTGTTCTTTGTGGGTTTCTTTTTAAATCTAGACTGTGGGAGTTGGAGATGGGGAGCGGGGGGGGAAAGGTCCGGCATTGTTAAGGGGTTTTGTTTGGGTGCTTTTTTTTATTTTGTTTTAACTTTTTGTTGTGGGGTTTTTATTTGGCTCTGGGGCCTGTCAGGGTGGATGGGCTCTGGCCATCGCTTCCCTCTGTGCCTCCCGGGGTGTATTTAATAATAAAAACAAACCAAA